GGCACCACACGAAAAAGAACTATCTGTCCTGTCACCTAACAAATGAGAAACCTGAGACAGTGCATTTTGGGAGGCTGGCAAAGCGCATTTGGCTTGGTGGGGCCCCTTAGGCAAGTGCAGCAACAATTTCATTGGGGCAGCTTCACCGCTCTGCTGGCTGGCCGTCAGGGGTAAGCCAGAGACTCACTTCTGGAGCCGGACGAGAAGGCCCCAGTTGTGGACGATCTTGCCGCGTTGGGTCGAAGAATCCTGTGGTTTGGGCCAGCGCTGAAGGGGCCATAGCTGGGGGGTGAAAACAGCGTCTGTTTTCATCTTTCATGTTTATCAGCTCTACAATCCCGTGTCAACTAAGCGTCATTGCGACAATGCCTGCCCAAGCACCGCGCATGGAAACGAATTTCTTGAGCGACTCTGGCGAGTCACAGGCTGCGATGGTGGGAACCACATCTGGCGGCTGTCCACCATTCTTCCCTTTGCAAACATGTCCCTTGCTAAGCCTTTCCGCGTGGCTTTTGGCTTTCGCTAAGCTTGCACGTTCAATCTTTTGTCGAAATTTGTCTTCGTGGGACTTGCACTAACCGCACCGATCCACTGTTGGAATGGTCTTTCCAAAGGCATCACAAAGGGAAGATGGCCAAAACCTTCGGAAAGCCTCTGGTGCGCGAAGCTTTCGCGCGCAGTTTCAGCATACGTCTATGCATGGTTCGCCAACATGTAAAGATTAGGCTTACATGCCGGAAATGGATGCTGAATATACATGGAGGTACATGACAAGCAAACAAGCAGCTGAAGCTATGATTTGTCTTTTGTGCAAAGGCCCAGTTTGGGAGCCCACAATCTCGTACTTGTAGCTGGCTCATGCTTTGCTATCAAGGCAACGTTGTCTCAACCCTTCCAGTGGGAAAGTCCAGCGCTTGGGTTTCCAAAGAGGACCTATATTGTGTCGTGGAATATGTACCTTGTGCACGATGGAGTTTGCGCGCTTATGTTCGTGATCCTGTTTAGCGCAATAGAAAATACAAGCGCCATGTTTTGGCCGAATGTCATGTGAGACCGTGAAAACATGCTTGCATCCTGATGCAGAACATGCGGAAATGAATGCCCGAGCTTTGGGCTGGAAGGGTTTGCAGCCAGTGTTGGAAGCGCTCATCCTGAACCTGAAGACAGCGGCTGGCTGCAACAGAGCATCAGAAGGGAGCAATATCCAGCCGCTAGCTCCTCTGGCTGCTGCTAGCGCATGCGAGCGGCTAGCTAGCGGAGCTGGACCGCAGGTTAACTGCTGAAGGCTTGGCCTCGGCCGCTAGCTCGTTGGATTCCATCTTTCGCCTCTCCCCGTCCTGGCAAGTGACAGTCCGACCGCAACCCCTAATTACGAGAACAGTTGATTAAATCGGAAGTCCCGTGAGCGGCCCGGCCTTCATGAAGGGGCTGCGCTTGTGCAGCACGTGAAGCTCGTCCAGATTGGAGGGGTTCTCAGCTGATGCATCGCCATTTGCAACAACCCTTGTCGCTCCTCTTCTTGAGGTTGCAGCGTGACCGGCGTCATTCCTCCAGACGTGACAACTTGACTGGGTGAAGTAGAAACATATGACAAACGAGCCAGATGGACTGAGGGTGGAAGAGAAGCTGAAAGGCAGACACCCAAAGTTCCATGTCCTGATACATATATTGCCACTCCCTTGCGCTGCATTGCTACTCTGCAAAAAGCCTCCTACCAAGCACTCCTCGCCAATCGGCACCTGCACATGTAGACCTTAAGTCGTGCAGTTGACTCTTTACTCTTCCAGCCGCCGCCGGCCACAACCTGATCAATCTCTGATGTAATCTGATGAGGCGGGGTGCTTTCCTGCCGAAGCTGAAAGACGAACGCGTTCTCGATGACCTTCCAGCTGTGCAGAGCCTCTCTCCTGCCCTCCTCAACTATTTGAGTAAAAAATGCAGAATTGGCTGCTTCTGATGTCTTAGACAACGGCCCGCACTGAGGTGACATCCATTGCATGCACCACTCCTGCAGATCTTTTGAGTTCAGGATTAAAAACGATCAGGTCTTTAGCCTGGGTTGCTAAACAGAGGGTGGCATCCCGAATGAGCAGAGCTTCCCAGACGGCAAGTCAAGACAACTCAGCCCGAAGCCTCGTGAGGAGATAGATCCTCTCAGAGCTTTGGCCGCGTCCGTGAAGTGCTCAAAGCGATCATTGTAGACTAAGAAGTACCGCATCTGAAGGTCATGCAGACGAGATTACAAATGCTCCAGCGGCGCAACCCGCCGTAGCGGCTTTGTCCCGAAAGCTGAAAACAGCTCCAGAATCACGAGAGCAAGCCAGCCTGCTCTGATCCATCCTCCTGTACCTCTGCTACGTGCGTCTCCCGAAAGACAGCGAGCTGTAATTTCAAAGCGTTGTCGGTCTCAGCTGTCAGCAATCTTCAGAGGCCCCTGATGCATTGGCCTTGCACTCGCACCTGCAGCAAAACTGGGCGGCCCTTGGGGGAGTCCACAAACGTTTTTGTGGTCCACCTGGCTTGGGTAGCCGCACTGGCGAATCTCAGCGTCGCAGACCGTCGTTTTTGCAAGACAGATGAAGGGGAATGGCGGCTGAGTGCTAGACCGGTGGGCTCTCTTATGTTCGACCATTCTACCTTGCATAAACAAAATGTTGAATGTTGGATGTGCAATTTGAAGACAGGATCTTGGCCGGAAACGGTCTTGCCTTTGACGTGCTTCGTAAATGTCGCCTCCAAGGCCTCAGAGAAGAACCAGCACACAGGAAGGCTCCTCGAGTAGGGTTTGTTGGGTGGTTGAATGATATTCTGTAGATACAATTCCATACCCAAAAGGAGGATGTAATCTTACTCTGCATTGGGTACCATAGTACTATTCTCGGACATCAGTCAGTCATTGAATTCCCCAAATAAACTACTACTCTTCTTGCCTTGTGAGCATTGCTTGGGCTCTGGCTTCGGAAAGGCTCGACCTGGGCACCGGATGGTTGGATGAGGCAACTCTTTAATCTAAGGTCTCAAATCAGCATCTTTGTAAGTCTCCCTCTGGCAGGTGCCTCTGTGCAGTGCACTGCTGACAGCCACTACACGTAAACTTCCAATCTCGTAATAAAGAGAATAACGACTGTACAGTAGTAGCCTGCTGGTAGCCTGCTGTCAGCGTGCAAAGAGGGAAAGCCGGTACACAAAGAACCGGCCGCCTAAGCTCAACCCTTTGAGGGCTGATCACACGAATCATTTACATAGGGCTTTACACAGCCACAGCGGGCACTGGTTGCTGCCACCCAGCTCTAAGCGTACGAGGGGCAGTGCAAGTGTCTGCATCCTGCGATGCACAATTTCGGTGAGACATGGAACCTCAGCTGCCACTCAGCGCCGGCAAACGCTGTCGGGGCATTGGACAGCTTGCAGGCATACGACACTGTATCGCGTCGTGCTGGCACCAAGCTGATCAGTCCAGGATCTCTCCCAACCTCAGTATCCAGAGTTGAATCTGCAACAAGGTAGGTTCTCGCAATGTGGTGGCTGAGCACCAACATGCCCCGTGCAATCAGGACAAGCCAAGGCTCAAAAGTCCGCCCAGAACACCTGCACCGCCGGCTGCCAGCATAGCACCAGTGCCTCCCATGCCGCCGCCGCCACCGCCCATTCCCATGCCGCCAGCGCCAGGACCCTGCACAATCTTCTTACTTAAAAAACCGCAACTGAAAACATGGTTAGCTGTCGCCGGTCACCGAGCACCCGGCTGGAGAGTACCCCGGGCCCGGTCCATAGGCTGGACCTGTTGTGTAGGATGGGCCCGGAGCGTAGTGTGCGTGCCCAGGGCTTCCATACGGAGCAGCATAGCCTGTCACTGTCATAGAACAGCGCAGCGTATGCAAGAGCAGTCTTGCTCAGGTGGTGCCTGGTTCGTAATATGATGGACCAGGTGCAGCTGCAGGTGCGTGGTAATGGCAGCCAGGTCCAGGGCCGGCAGGCATGTATGCAGCTCCTCGCGTGGTTCACACAGAAAGGATCAGCAGGGATCAGCTCCGTATCTGGCCTGGCGATGGACCCGCCTCGGCGTGAGGGTTTGCAATGGCTGCAGTGGGTCACACGTTGAGATTCAACTAAGCCAGGTGCTGGCACGTGACCTGCCGGCCCTGTCGGCATGCCGGGCGTATACCCAACGACAGCACCTTCTACGACCGGTGGCCTCAATAGCAGAGAAGCTCTCAGACTCTGACATTCAGAGGCGGCAGTTTGTTTTCATCCTTACTAGTAAGACTAAATAACACCTGGCACACTCACCAGGTTTATGCAGTTTATGCAAACCCCTCAATGCGCAGAAGGTCTTGACTGTAAAACGGCCATATGTACGGAACTGCAGCACTGCAATAGCGAGAACAAGCTGCCCGCAGTCGGGGCAAAAGTCTGGCCTGCCACCAGCCATGCCATGCAGAGCTTGATCTGCTGTTGGCTTGGGATAGTCCGCTTTCGCCGGCTTCGGCTTTCCTCACGAAAGCTAAAACGTCAGATCCTGGCCAACTAGCACCTTGCAGTACCTTTATAGGCTTTCGACTGAGCTGCCTTCGTCGTCGTAAATAATCTTAATCGGCCGCTCCTTGCCTGTCAATGACCAGTCAGGACAACTGCAACTTGTCCGAAACCATCCGAAAACCTTTCCTTGGCGAAGTATGACTCTGTGCAGCTTCATGACAAGAGGCACTGGAATGAGCACGATGGTAGCTTATCAAAAGGAGCAAAGAATGGGCTAGAGGTCACCAAGAGTCATCACATGTGCTGGCACACTGCTTGTTGAATCAGCGTATGTTTTCGGATACGACTCATCGCTGACTTGAGTCTTGCTAGAGCCCCTGGTCTGCACCCTTCGCCTGCTGTACTGTCTAGGGACCGGCATGCTCAAGGACAATCTCAACAACTCGTAACTTCCGGGGCACGGCCAAAACTGTCGAAAACTCATGCAAGCTACAGATAGGTTCTTCAGACCCTGCCAGCAGACACTTCGTTACTGAAATGACTGAAAGCTACTGCTCAAACCTGGCCTGACTTGACATTCCTCTGCACCATCTTGGCAAAGTCAATATAGTAGTCCTGCAAGATTAAAGTTGATCTACAGGGGCTTTCTGGACAAGTCTGGCACAGTTCCTGCCCTCGGCTGTGGAACTCTGCAGACTTCTTCCCGTTCAGGAATGCCTGCCGGAGCATCATCGCAAACCCAAGTCAGCGCAAAACTGTTCACCATGCACAGGTTATCACCCTTTCAAAGTACTGCAGGTGCTCCTTCATGAGGATTTCATCCTCGCCTTCCAGCACAGCCAGAAAGACAGGCATCCGCAGCCATAGGTCAGAACTTAGGTACAAACGATCGACAAAGTCTTCCCACTTGTCTCCGAGCTTCAACCTGATGAAAGCAGCTCTCAGCATACTGCCTGATCAAAACAACTAAGGGATTGCCACCATTTGGAACATGCTTGGCGTGGGAGCTCTCGGCATGAGACAAGACGCTGGAATTTCGGCATTGCGTTGGAGGCAACGCTTCTGGCTACCACAACTCAACCTACAAAGATTCTGTTGAGCCCGCATGAGGCATGAGAAGGATTGCGAGCACACAGCAAGGGCTTCAGCAAACATCACGTCAAGAATTTCAAAGGGCAAAACAAAGGTTCTGCGATGCTTGAGGATTATACATCCATGGCTCTGCAAAGGGTGGGGCAATCCATCTGGGGCACAAGGCTGCCACAGATCGAAAGCCTGTCGACAGCGCATTTTTAGAAGCCCGCTCAGGGCCTCAGAGCGCGTCAGGACACGACATCGCGTGTTGTGGACAAAACTGCCAACAGGCTGGCGAGCTCAGACCTCTGATCCCAGCTCTGGCACTCGGTGTTAATTTTCATAACGAAAAACTCTAGAGGCACACATCAGGCACGTCATACAATAACACACACACATACATTCATCACAATGAGCTGTAGTCAGTCGTACACACTTTACATGCTTCGGGTCGCAAGTTCGCAGTGTAAGTGTCAGGCTTGAATCTCAAAAAGTCCCTGACTAGCCTTCGAGGCATGAGCACAAAAGCCAGATGATCCATGTCCGGCATGTGTGCGAAGGAGCCTTCACAGCTTGCATCTCCCGCAGCTGCACCGATTTCGCTGGATCCTTAGCCCAAGATGCATACGTATGCTCCGAAGGCATCCTTGAAGCTGTCTCAGCAGCCTTTTGCTCCTAAGGCAGCATCTTCTTCAAGTCTCTGAGGAAAAACGACTTGCTGCCCCCGTGAAACGTCAGTGCTCAAATGTTGAATGACAGTCTGACAGGATCTGCAAAGCCTGCACGGCTTCAGACATCACAACCTTCTGGGTTGCATCCGCTTCCTGTCTCCTAGCCGTTGCTGACGGTACGCGGAGAGGCCGGGGCTTGTACCCGTGTTGCTGCTGTGCATTTGAGGTACGCATGGCTGTGATCCCCTAGCCCTGCATGCTTGTAGTTGCTGCAGTTGCTTTAGGATCATTTGTAGACGTCATCGCTGTTTGCATTGCAGCTTTTGATTGCCCCGTGGTTCTCGCCGCGCTTCTTGACTGTTCTGAACATCATGACTGGTGCTGAGGATGTCTGTCTAAGAAGCATCCGCACATCTTGAGCTCTCAGGGATCTTCTACAGTATATCGTCTTGAGATGGAGGTGGGCACAGACCAAAAACGACATACTGAGGAGCTAGCGGCATAGACAATGTCCTGCGACCAGCAGAACAAGTGCCAGCTCGCTCTTTGCAACTAGGCTTTGCTGGCTGCTACCTCTAAGAACAATACATTCATAGTCCTCGGAGTTTTCAAAGAAGGCAAGGCGATCGGCATACAAGACTCCATGCCTACAGCGCAGAAGTTCCAAACTGTGCAGCACTCCACAGCCACCCGCCCCTCAATCGAAAACTTCTCGTGATTGCATAGACTGGCCCCTATCAATACTTGAGATTCCACGTAATGTCGCACCCCTGTTAGCAGAGCGGCTCGGAATACTAAAATCTTTCGTGCAAATTATTCAGAATCTGCAATTATTGCGGCAGTTCGGAATAAGAAAATAATTTTGGGCCCAAAATCTCGTACCTGAGTCAGGTTTGGCTTCGAGGCCTTAACGGATTTTAATTCCAGAGCTCTAGCACCAGAGCCTTTACGTGTCAGGCCTGATATTTGAAAATCCGAAACTCCGTAAACTCAGAGCAACCAGATCCATATAAACGGCTTTTTTGGGATCATAAGAGATCATAGGGTCCGTCAATTTCTGTGGGGGGGTAGTTCAGCAGAGCCCCGGATCCTCAACAAGGAAATGTTTCGGGGGCTCGGAATAATAATCCACTCCGTCAGCAGCCCGGAATTTCCAGAAACTCTTAGGATTTGTATGAACTTAAGTTCTAAAGGCCCAGAGCTTTCAGCTATAAAGCCAGATACTAGCAAAGCTATGGGTTCGTGAAAGCCAGATACTAGCATAGCTATAATCCGTGAATTCCGTCAGGCCCGTGAAATCCGTAAACTCAGAGCAACCAGCTCCAACCAGCTCCATATAAACCCCGTTTTCGGGATTGTTAGAAATCATAGGGTCCGTCAATTTCTTTGGGGGGTAGTCCAGCAGAGCCCCGGATCCTCAATAAGGAAATTTTTTCGTGGTTCGGAATAATAATCCACCCCGCCAGCCGCCCAGAATTTCCAGAAATTTTTAGGAGGATTTGTATAAATTTGAAAGGCAGCAAAGTTATAAGTTCGGGACAGCCAGATACTAGCAGAGCTATGAACCCGTGAACTTGTCATTAAACATACTCAAATCTAAATGAATAAAGCAGTTCAATTGCATTCATTTAAATTTACAGGGCCCGAGGCCTCCAAAAAATCAAGGATTTTAATTCAGTTCATTTGAATGTATAGGTGATGAATAGGGCCCAAGGCCTCAAATAGGCCCAAGGCCTGAAATGTTGAAGGAGTTCAATGAAAATTGCTTAAATTCTAAAGGCCCAGAGCCTTTCGCTAAAAGGCCAAATACTTGCAAATGCATGAATTCGTGAGAGCCGCGAAATCTGGTTTCAATGGGTTTAATTAGATTTGAATTGCAACGAAATCAGTTTTGAATAGGTTTCCATTGTGTGTAATAAGGCCTTATCAGATTTGAATACGAACACTTCAAGGCTACTACCGAGATTCATGTCTTTATCGATCTTAATTCCGCGGCAAATTTGGGGAGACGTCCGCGATCAAAAAGAATCGTCAATTGTTCACGGGGGGGGCGGCCTATACTAAAAGGGGTGCCACATTAAGTGCCATCTAAAAAACTTCTGGCTGTAGAAGGGCTATTCAAAAACGGCTGCAATGCGAACAGGGCAGCCTGGGCGGTGCCCGCGTTTTTCTAAGCCCTGCCAAGCCCGAGCCTCTTGTCTCCGTCAAGCTCAACCTTACAAGGAGGCATGCGCGCCAATGTGCAAAAGGCCTGCTAAAAGGGCGGCCTGCCATGGTCAACAGCAAATGCCACGCTCCACGGCTCTAGTCTACAGTGTTAGAAGCCGGGTTTGTTGCCTAGCTTTTCGATGCTGTATGCATTTTGCTCTGAGTGCCATGCAGGACCGGAGAATATGGATCGATTCCTGGCCGGCCTGCACGAAACCAGGTGGTTTTCTTGTCAAATGCTGTTTGTTCTGTGAGCGACATTTACTGCCCCCGGGGCTGATAAGAATTCTGAGTTTAAAGGACCAAGCGTACCAAGCGGCCATGGGGGCATATTGTGGGTGCCCTGAAAGTATCAAGAACACGTCCGCACTTGGCAATGCCGTCCAGCTGACCCATCGCATCAGCCACGATCACACGATGTTCATTCCTGGAATATCCTTGCACAATGGCCTTAAGCGCAGAGCTCCCAAATCTCTGCGAGCGCGGCCCCGCCTCCCGTAAGGTCCGCATTGGATCCCTCCTTGTAACTACTTAACCTCCACTGTCCCCGCCATGAGGACTTTTCAGCTGGTTTGCTATCAAACTGGACCTGCGTGGCGCGGACAGGTTTCCACTCTGTGATCACGCTCGCCTTTGATTTGTGCACAGTGATCGTATGGTCTGCATCCTACCCAGAGCCATTTTTGGCCCACTCTCAGCTTTGTGATCTGTGGATTGTCTACACAGATCACCTGGCAATGCTGCTTCACAATTCTGAAAGTTGGTTGCGTGCAGCGCCTGCATCTGTCTCATCACGCGGCACGTTGTGGCCAGCCAATTCTCAAGGGACCCAACTCCTCAGAAAATCGCCTCATACATTTTCACCTACGTTCAACCATCAAAACTATGCCAACACTCGGCCAGCGGCTCGAATAATGATTATGACTCACGGCAGACTCAAGCTCGTGGAAAATTTTCTGAATAACGTCCGAGTCCAGTGACTGGCACACAATCACGTAGATGGTTCTTGTCTAAAATTTGTCAACTAAATATGCTGAAGCTGGTGGACACTGAGTCGGGACTGCTTTGAATGAGTGAGTGAGTGAGTGAGTGAGCGACTAGCTGCACGCGGTGGGACGGACTAAGACGTCGATCCTTTCCGGATTCTCACGAGGCTCCGAAAACGTCCTTGCCCCCTCACTTGGAGGTCACGCTGGCGAACGCCCCAGCCCGGAAAACAACGTTGCAGGTTAAGCAGGAGCGTTTGATGGCAGATGCAAAGAGCATCAACGAGGCAGGCCCGAAACCGGCAAAGCCGGCATAAGGGCCAGACCGCTTGCTTTCATGGAGGAAGTTCTTGCAACAAGGGCTTTTCCCCTGACAGTCCCCCATCAGGGTACTAAGCCAAACAAGCAACGTTGCCTCTGCATTGGGGCTGTGCCCGGCCGCGTGCCAATATTGGCGAGCACGTTTCTCTGCAGACCCCTCTACAAATATTAAGTGCACAATGCGACCCATGCGGCATCTTGCTTTCCCAAATACTCACTCAATCACCACCTTTCCTGGATAAGGGGGAATGGCAAAAGTCCATCCATTCCCCCACAAGCAGGTCACATGACAGTATACCGATAAAGGCCAAAAGTGTGACCGACCCCTGCTTCGCACGAGGAGGAGTCGGGACTGCGAAAGGCGTTTACCTAACGCGCTTACGAAAGTCCATGTAACCTTGTGCGCAACCAGGTATTATGTTACCGACAAAGCCTCTCAAATTCTAGGACCCTAAGCACGATCAAGTCGCAGATGTGTACAACCGAAGCTTCCAATTCTGTCGGCCAACAGAAGCCATGTCAACCATAAACAGTTTTAGGTTTTGCGTTGTGGCATTGACAGGGCTCATGAGTTGATGCAATGGTGAACATGTTTCTCAATTCTGTTGTATTTGTGTACGATACATGTGTGCTTCTGGTGTTTTTTGTTGTCGCTCTTCTTGTTCATCTTGTTGTTGTTAAGCCTATGGGCTCAGGGTGGATGTCAAGGGATAGTACGTAAAGCCTTTTTTTCCTTCCCGCAGTCATAGTTACAAAACACACCACCTGCGACGCCCTGGTCCCAATCCCGGGGCAGAAGACAACTACTGCAGTCAAGTCGTTTGTCGGCAGGCGAAACCGACAGGAGTGAAGTTCAACATGAGCTTTGCGCAACAGCATCGTGACACGAATAAGGCAAGTCAAGCAAGCCCTCTAAGAGAGCACGGCAAGAAATGTCATATCGAAAGGCTTTGCAGCAGGCAGAATAAAAAAAAAGAACAGGTTCTCTCGCTTGCGGCCCTAGGGGGATTCAACCAACCAGCTCTCAGGCCGGAAGCACAGCAGCGTCACCTGACAGTTAAAGCACAAAATAAGGTAGTGGAGTGAGCCCTCATCGAAGGAGCACAGCACTGACGACAGCGGTTTAGGTTGTTCCTCTCCCGGCCTAGGTGTCCTGAATGAAAAGATGTTAGGAAGGTCACTATTCAAAAAGCCCATTCGAGAGGAAAGTATGTTTCAGCCGAGATTGTTGGCATGTGAGCGGTTCGGGCAACAGCGGAGAGCAAGGAGCAGGCGGCGACCTGGGTTCACAAATCACTGGCAGACGCATGCTCCCTGCGCTACTACCGGTTCGTGCGGCGCAGCAACTTGCGGCTACAGCAGAGGTGGTGGTGGTGGTGGTGGNNGCGGTGGGGGTGGTGGGGGCGGTGGTGGTGGTGGTGGTGGTGGTGGTGGTGGTGGTGGTGGTGGTGGTGGGGGCGGTGGTGGCGGCGGCGGCGGCGGTGGTGCTGGTGGTGGTGTACGACGGGCGTGTTTTGTGTTAATTATCGTGACTTCCTACCCGCTTCTGCCATTTCAGATTGGCTTGTTATCTCCCGTGTCTTAGAGCATCTTCTGCCACGCCACAACTAGTATCAGCCTTCCTTCTTTGTATAATGCTTCGTCTTGTTCCCTAAGATTTCTTGTCATGTCTGTGCGTAAATTTAGTTGCGCTTCCTCGTAGCTGCGCAGTACTTCTCAGCGCGCCGGGCACAGTGACAGTGACGAGCTGTGGGGTGTAGAGGTTGTAGCAAACCTCCTGATTTCATGCCGAGCTCCTTGACTTGAACCACATTTCAGGTTTTGCTTTTCAGCTCTTTTCAGCTTTTGCTATTTGATCCGTCGTACATTGTCAATGTGTGGAGCCTGTAATTCCGCGCAATTACCCCGGCGGTTCCATCATGTTGCCTTTCTTTTGAGGACTGTACAAATGAGGTCCTACTCATAGGATTGCAGCTGCGGCTCTCCAGATCTGCCAAGCCGATAATCTGAAGAACAAGACATCTTATAACCTGTCGATGCTCTTGAAGATTGCCCCTGATCTGAACTACATGTCAGACGTCGCCCACTAAACAGTTCTAGGTGCGAATTCAAGCAGAAACTTACCGAACAACAAGTTTGAGACATGCACGCCGTCTCTCTGAAACTGACAGCCTTCGGATAGGTAGGGCAGGACCTGCTGTTCAGAGGTCACCTAATGTCAGACCAGATAGTTATTCCAGAGCTCAGAAGTACCCTGCAACTCTGACATACCCTTACCTCGTGTATAAATGTTGCCAGCCTGGCCTGGGACTAAAATCACATGCATCGATCCATACAAGGACACAAGATTGTGAGCAGAATGCATGATACGATATACGTTTCTTCTGAGAAGAGTCTGATGCTGGTATGCATGGGTCTTGAAGGGGCGGTCTGTACGGTATTTGCGGGCTGTGTGGCATTCCAATGACTTTCCCTTCGCCACGACTTGGGGCGGCCTCAAGGCACTTTTCAGATGGAAGATCTCGCAAGGTGTGGAGGCCCCTTGAGAGTGTGCGCCGTTCATCAGGATCATGCATGTGCCACTTGTCCATGCGCTCTCTGCATGCCAATGCCGGCGCACTCACACCCTTGGAATTCTGACGCCATCCATGAACAAGCTGCTGCTGCCGCTGCTGCTGCACCCGCTGAAACACCAATGCAGCCCTCAAACCCAACACAGCAACATAGACGAACAATTTCCGAAGGCACCAAAGAATTTCGAGCGTGACCAGCTCACGGTCTACTCCTCCAAACTCCCTTTCAACACGGAGTGCTAATCACATCTAATCACGGTGTAGCGTTGGTCCTGCTGGGAGAGCTCGGCTGTTCTTCTGGCTGGTCCTATGCAGGATGCTGCAGTGTTGCACATGGTGCGCCTGTGTTTTGCTCAAAGATGCGCCTCCATCTCACCGGGAAGAGAACGTGCAATGGGTGTGCCGGCCTGGGCCGTCATGCAGACTTGCAGACAGAGCAAAGGCCGCGCAAAGTGTGGAAAGCCTGGGCGATCATCTCCTGCTGAAACTGCTCAAACTCGTCTCGACCTTTGAGAGACACGCAGCAAAGAGCGGCACGCATGAATCTGCACGCAGTGCCACGGACAAACTGCGTTAACCTTAGAGCTGTACTGATAATGCCATCCTGGTTTTTATCCAGGTCCTCGAAGCGGACTGAAGCTATCGGCGGTGTGGGAATTGGCTCCTGCTCTACAGTAGGTAACGCTTCACATGGATTTGGGATCATCAGTTGGGCCTTTGGCGGCAGTGGGCAAGGATGCAAATCACCGCACAAAGCAGAAAATCTATGTCTATGTGTCGCCCTGCAAGGTGAGACTCTCAACCATCCTCTCGCGTGCGCTCCAGTACCATGACTTATGATTCTTTTGGTTCATGCCAAGCTCAGACCTCAAAACATGCGGCTCGGCCTGGCACTGAGGCTGGCCAGCTGGCGCCGGCACATGCTGCCCAGACATATACGTGGAACATCACGGAACATCGTGGAACCATACCAGAGTAACAGAAAGCAATGTCCTTGGCCTGCCGTCTCTTTTGCACTCTGGATGCCGCGACTGCCGCGCCCTCCGGACCAGGAAGCTTCAAACGGTGAGGACGCTGCGAGGACGCTCAAGCACGGCAACGATACGGCAACTCTTGCCTCCTCTGTGAGTTGGAGCACCTACGAGGAAGCGGGCTCAATTCATTTCAGGCTTACCTTGTAGTTAGAAGCCTGCAGCGTATGGCACGGCAAGCCCAAGCAAACGCAATGTAGGGTGCAGACATGCGGATCAAGTCACTCAATCGGCCGCACGACCAGATGAAGGGTCTAAGCATGCACCGAATTGCTGGCAGTCGAAGCGATGCGCGCATGCATCACTCCGATGTCAAATCGATTTCACAGTGTCCCAAGGTCTCAGATGTATGACTTCTTTCGCATTGGGCGGAGGTCAGCATTGAAGCCACTGTCGGCTGCTGCGGCCTTACTTGAAGTGTCTGCAACATGGGATCTTACCAGATTACGAAAAACATGACATGAAATGACATGAAGAAGATGCTGGGCGACATGCGTCTTCACCACAGCTGGGCTCCGTTTTAGCTTGTCGAGGCTTCCCGGCGGGGAGGAGATCTGGCGCTTTGTCGCTCGGCGCGAGCTGAAAGCCTGAATGGTCCGAGAAATCTTACGAATGTTGCACATGTGCAGCAAGCCAAGTCAAGTGTGCTCAACTGGCCTCAGAAGGTCCACAAGGCCTGCGCGACAGCGTATTTAAACTTCACGATTTTCGAACAACGATTTTCTGCTTCACACGCTCCACCACGCCTGCTGGCAGATGCAGGCAATGCTCCATTCAACTCTCTGTTGGGTTGAGCTGTCTGCATGTTCTGGCCGACATTGCTTGCAAAAGCGAGCCGCTGTTGAACCCCTTCACGGGGCTGCTGACTGTCAGGGACCTCCTCAGGGCGTTCAGTCTTGATCATCTGCTGCATCACCTCACGCCTGAAGGCAGTGACGCACATCCTGGTCCTGCCACTCGAGCCATTGGAAGAACCCGCAGCCGTTTCTCAAGCGACAAGATGCAAAATACCGTCCGTTGTTGACACCCAACTTCAGGACTTGGCGCATCCTTGGTTGAAGGCTCGAGGTTTTTGAGGCTTCTGGAAGGCGTCCTTCACGCGGCTTTTGATTTAGCCACGGCCTTTGTGCCTTCATCTTGCAGGATTTAGCAGCTTTAGCAGTCAGCTGAGGCTTGCGCTTGGTCCGACCGTGAGCACAGCTTGGAAGTTGTTCGTCAAGCCACTGGAAAGTTCGGCATCGTCGCTTCGAGCAGGCGAAGAAATGGCGCTCGCGATTTGGCCCCGTCTTGAAGGTTTGCTTCAAGTCGCAAGCCTTAACTGAAGCTTCTTCGCACTCTGTAAGATCAGCTGACACAATCCTTGTAGTCGCGCAACCTGTCGGCAGTCACATCGCGGTCTTACAAGCTCTCGCACAGCAACTTTGGCTGTCCTAGGGCGATTCTTGGCACCTGTCAGCGTTGGGTGGCAAAGTTTCAGAGTTTGATGTGGTATCTGACGTGGTATTGCACTTGCTCGCACCTGGTGGACGGAGCACGCTGGTGGTAGGCAAACTGCCGTCCACTTGACAGCTCGGACAGAAGTAACTTATGCGACGAAGTGCGCCTGAAGCTTCAGCCACACCACGAAGCGAGGAAGCTCTGTGATGCTCTGTGATGGTTATGAAACGTTGTGTTTTGAGCTGGTGCTCCAGAACGCTGTGCACTGCACCTTCACGCATCAGCACAACTCTCGATCGGCAACGCGAACACATCTTCCTTGCGCGCCAGCAGGCAAAGGGATTCATGGCTTTACCCATCATCTGCCATTACCAATTGCAACAGCACACTGACTTGACTTGTTTTGAGTGAGGCTCCAACATAGTGTGCGGAAACTCGAAACCGCTTGAAATTAGCTCTTTGGCGGCATTCGCCAGGCAAGAAAAAGGGAGAGAAACGGGCTGAAGCAACCATCCTAATCATGCTGCAGCTGACGAAAGCCAAAAGGCTGATCTTCTGACCAAAAAAACTGAAGAAATGAAAGCTGGATCGGCGCCTGCCCACTTTAAGACATCCCCAACTGAAAGCTCCCAGGCCAGTGACCAGCCGCTACCCGCCACAAACAACCCGGAGCCCCAATCCTGATCAAATTTGAAGCCTTTCACTCTGGTCCACATCATTTGAGAAGCAACTGAGCTACAGTTTTTTGGATGACGCTTGTGTCTTCGGCATGCTTCGGGAGCACTCCTAGGACTCCTAGGACGAGGGTCAGGCAAATACGCTTCACGTTCTGTACACAAGCAGCAAGCAAAGGAAGGTCCTGTGGTACATAGACGAACCCTGTCAACCATGGACCCCTATCCCCCACCACCAACCAGGACCACCGCCACCGTCACCGCCATCGTCACCACTGCCTATCCTCGAGCCCCCAACGCCACCACACTGACCGTCGCCGCCGCTACCACCACAACCACAACCACCCCCTGCTGCAGATCCTAGACACTGCCGCCACACTCCCCGTTGCGAGTAGGCCACGCCGAGGGTTTGCCAAAAACAAATTCGGCAAGAGCGCGAAGACACCATGGCATACATCTCTATCTTCTTGGCCGAACAGTTGCTGTCCGCAAAAACTTCTAAACATCCAATCTCCGGGCAGTAGCTCTGGTCTGATTCGCAACACTGTCCAAATTTCAAAGTTGCCCTGTATTACGTAGGGGTTGGAGGCATAAAGAGTAAACCCTTCGACCTGCCGCTGTTCCTGACTCCTGTTGTCGGCACGTGCTGCCGCTGCCGCTGCTGCTGCTGCTGCTGCTGCGCCTGATTCGCCCTTGCCAGTGTCCCTGGCACTTCCTGTGCTGGTTCCCGGCCTGACGCCCCAGTTGCAACTCTCACAACCAACATTCCAGTCGTATTGAAGCAGCGAGTCTAGAGGGAAGAACAATCCGCCGACTGACTTTTGGGGCCATTTTGGATGGTCAGAGCGCCACCTACAGAGCAGGGGTATGGGCAGTGACCTGGGTGCGTCTTTGAGGGGATTGCGAAGTGCATCAGACACCTTCGCCATGTGTTTCTGGGCATAGCAGACATCACTGCTGACCGCAAGGGTCAGGCTACTCGACAAAAGGAGCACGTCGAGGAAGCACTGCAAATCTGGACCGCAACAGCAGTTGATCTTGCCTACTGTACCAGTTGCAGCTAGACTAGACGTGTGAGCTGAGGGGGAGTGCTTCCGAGTTCCTGTTTGAGTGTCTTATGGCTCTGATGGAGGCTTTAAAGTTTGGATGCTGGGGGAGGCCTTTGCATTAGAGCTTATCGGCTGATATTGATCTGTGGCTTGCATGCTCATGGTTGTCAGTTTTAGCATAGACTGCATGGACGTTGAGGGCAGTCGAAGACAGGCCGCACAGTCCCAGGCCCACAGTTGCACGATCTTGCACGACTAGCTTACTTCCTCCAGAGGGTCACCACTGCGGCATTTCGAGGACACTGTTTGGTTGATAGGATTGACTCCTCTCATCTAGGGGATATTCCTATTCCCAGTGGTGTCTGTTTTAGGATTTGCTAGGGGTTCTTGAACAAGGCGCAAGCGGCTTTGGGAGAGTTCTGGCAGGCCGCGGACATGTCGCGTCCATTTTGAGGGTCGGTTCAGGGAGAACTGCATGGACACCAGGCGCAGCACTGCATCCCTATGCTCATTTGGGCGCAGATTGTGTAATAATGGACTTCCGAAAGCCGGGCCGCACTCAACCGCGCAGTCCCGTACTCATGTCAAGACTGGTATCAGAAGCTGTTTCCGAACTATCCGCATTAGTTATGGTATAGTGGTATAGTATACTATTAGGGATTCAGCTTGGACATGGATGTGAAACTTCTGGCTTGCAAACTGCACGAGAAAGGTGCTGCCGAGTGGTCCTGCCGTAGCATTCCTTCGTCAGCTTGCCACGTCCTGTGCTTGCAATCAGCACAGGCGCGAACATCGCGCTTGGGGTCTTATAACTAGCTAACTAGCAGATCGCTCAAGATCTTCAAGCCTAAATTCCAAAGCACATGGACAGCCTAACCTAACACCCAAACACATTCGAGATGCAGCGAGTGTCCCCTCAGAGCAGAATACCACTGTCTTCCGCAAGTACGTAAGCCATGAAGAAGAGCCCTCCAAGCAGTGTCATCCAGCGCATGGCCAGGAGTAAGCGGATGGAGTTTTGCGCTGAAAAGGCCTTCCACCTGCCAGCTCGTGTTGGCTCGTGGTAGCGGCTGGCACGGGCATTTGCTAGCCAGGAAGCTACAAACCGCTGATACTTGATACTCCTCAGCTGTCATGTCATATAGCCGTAGCCACCACAAGCCCGTCCTTGATGACGTTCCCAACGCCCGGCAAAAGAAGCTGATCCATGATCAAATCACAGATCTTCCGCTCTGCAGCAGCTTCTTTCAGACGCCGGATGGCGCCATCGAAGTCGAAGTTGGGACTAAGGATGTCAAAAGGCCTGAGTTCGGGTTTACGAACAAGCTTTCTACTTCAGACCGCCACTACCCGCGTTCCAGCAAAATTCCGGCCTTCGTGCCTCGCAGGCGGCCAGGTACGCGAAACTGACGACTTTTGCAGTGGCATCACGGAGCAGGAGCCCTGCATGTCACAGGGAAATATCAGGATTACCTGACTATACCTGACGGTTCAAAGCACAAGACAACCGAGAAAAGGCTAAGCTTGGCTCGGCCGTTGGAAAACTCCATTTCGCTTTTTTGGCTTTCCAATCTGGCACGAGATTGGGAGCGTGAGCTATGTCGCTCGGTGGACACAAGGCATCCTGCACCTCGGCGAGTTGACTCAGTGTTGAGGACACCCTTCCTTTATTCTAAGTTCAGAGGCTAAGTTTCCTCCTTTATTGCGGATGTCTGTATGTCAAACAAACCTGTTTCAAAATTTACCTCAACTGGCAGTTGATGACGATATCTAGATCCAAACAACTTATACCAATCAAAATATTACAAAAAGTCCTCTATATAAGACATGTCAAGTTTTGATGTATGGCCATCTTCGATCAGCAACAACGTCCTTCCCAGCATGCTCTTATGCTGCTCAACCAACATCTAGACTAGACAGAGTGACGGAATCCTTGCAAGCTGCGTCTGAAGTCTGCACCACCGCTCATTCCAAAGTGCACGCGAATTGCCAGGCTATCCATGACAATGAACAGCTCCTGAAGCAGACGCTGGATGACGATGATGATGGCGCAGCTAAAAACATGTGTGCCAGAAAGTCCTTGCCCAGCGCCATCACCTTGTTAACACGTTGTCCCCTGCACGTTGGGAGGAGCAGTTGCAGGTGTGTCGTAAGAGTTTGCGAGAGCTTGGGGCTTGATGAGCTGGAGCTGCCAATGCTGCGCATTTTCCTGCTTAAGGCTGGAAGGATCAACCAGTTCGTAGACTGACCTGCAACCAAGAAAGACGACACCGAGCACTGTCAGAAGTGAACCAGCTGAACCCCTCTGGCTTTCGTCATGCGGGGCAGCGGCCAATACTTCTGCAATTCACAATGAGCGTGGATGAGCTTGGACAACAGGAAAACAGCCAGTCCTTCACTGGGCTGGCATGCGTAGGTCAGGCTACGAAACCCTGGCCTGCATCCATCGAGGGGCGCACACGTGCCCAGTACAGCCAGCAGTTGCTGGAACAACAATACCTGGGAAAGTTGCTACAAGGTTCCTGTTGGCTGTTATACTGTAGAAGTGAGTTGTGTCAAGGCTGCAAGCAAGGCGCTTGCAGCCTCTCAGCCTTGCGCTTGCAGCTTGGACCCTCGACCATGGACGGGCACCGCGCTGGAAGATCAAAGCTGACTTATCAGAACCAATCTGGCCACGATACATTCAAGCTGCACGCTGTGAAGTCTGCAGACTGCATTCGCTTAAGGACGAAATTGGTTTTTGTCAACATGCAAGTTGTGTCAAGAATGGATCGAGACATCTGCGAGCTGCAGCTGCCTTCTTCAGCTCGTCAAGCGAGATCCCGCCACCTTCACTCTGGTCCATGGAGAAGATCAAGCTTTCCTGGGTCAGCTTTGGATGTACCGCGTCTGGACACTTTCACCAGTCGGTGGTCTGGTACTTTTAGTATATGGATGAATTCATTGCTTCGGTGTAGCTTAAGAAACTTTGCTAACCTGACCTGTGGTGGTTGCTGAAGTTGGGATGCTGCTTCTGCAATGATTCCTGAAAACGTCGGCTGCAGTTTCTATTAGCTTTGCTTCTCTCCCTTTGCATATGTTGGTTGTTGCAATTCTTGCTGGTTCCCAGCATTTCTCAGACCACCAATACTTCCGACCGCTCAAGCTGTGCCGTCCCCCCGCAACCGTATCCGTGGCCATGTTAGCCCTGATGAATGAGATCCTGACCAGCCATCTTCAGGTGCTCTGCAGAGATTAGAGGAAAATGCCGCAGAATTTTATCACAGCGATCGTGCAGTTGGTTCATGATTTAGTCAGGTACCGCTTGGAGAGGTTTGCTAGACAAACTGTGACATGTTGTGCTGATTGCATTGCTTCTGCTAAGACATGGCGTCAGGATCACTGCACCCAGCTGGTGCACCAAAGCAATGGTTCATCCAGGGATTGGAGGGGTGTTTACACCTCTTCAATTGTAATAACTAACATCATTCTTGATCCTGATGCAACTACATCCTCACAAGGCTAGCAGAGTCGTCCAGTCCACAATGAGTCTACAATCCTTACGCCCCACAAGTATCTTCGGTCTTACAGAAGTGTCAATAAGGCTGACACAATTTGAGCATCTGTCAGGCCGATTCCCAAGTCCTTCAAGGCTCCAGCCTTGGCAAACTCGGCAAATGCATCAAGATTAACAAAAACTTGAGTGGACATCATCTGTGCAACGGCAATGAAACCGTTGCTGATTTTTTGCAAATCTGGATTATGGCAACTTGCTGTACATGAAAACAGCTCTGTCTACATATTGGGTCAAGCTGCACAGGTGCATGCAAATTCTTTCAGCACTTGAGCTTGCTGTGAAATGGAGCTAGGCAGTGACATCCACACAGCAAGCACACATGCATAAAAGAGGAAAAGAGCTGCTCCACAAACAGCGGTACATAAACAGCACACTGTGCTTTGACAGGCAGCATCAGAGGCATTGCCAACTGGCGTGTGTAAGTCTTTCAGCTGTTTCTCTTCCTGCCCAGCCTCAACCTGCCTTAATTCCTTCCCTTCACCGCTGGAAATGCTTGATTCTGAAAAGCCTCTGACCCAACTTAGTTTGCTCGCTGCATGCTCCTCTTTGTCACTGGTCTTCTTGCTGTTTCCGTCTCCATGCATATTTGGAACATGTCATGCAGCGGTTTGAACCCCAAACGTTGTGACGCCTGCATGCTGAACTCATGATCTTGCTCGTGTATCAGCCACCTGCTGTCCAATAACAGAACAGCTACGCAGCAAGGCTCAAGCCAAGTCCTCAGGATTGACTTGGCCAGAATCTGCCTGCACATAAAGCCCCACCAACAAAGCGCTTTGCAACATGGCTTGGAAAACAGTACTGTGTGTTTGCTGTTTGCAGCAAAACCGAATGTCTTTGGATGAATAGCTTACGCGGCCTGCTGCAGCGCTCTGTGAAAGTCCGCTTCATTCTGAACCTCATTTACAGAAACAACTTCTCTACTTCACCGACAAGGACACACATCCCTAACATCAAGCCGCAACTACACACTTCACGTGTCGTCAGAGGCAAGTTTAGTCAATTCGACCAAACCAGCTGCTGTAACGAGCAAGCGTCTCTCTCTCGCTGCTGAAGAGAGAGACCTGACAGACAGCAAGCTCGCGCCTTGTGCCCATTCAGCGTGCGCGCAGTCTTGAACATGACATTCACCTGTTCAGCCACCAAGGGTTGCAAAGTCAACTGTCACAGGTCTTATCATGAAGTTTCAACCACCCCGGCCGTCTTCACGGCTTGTACCAAATCCTTCGCAATACGGGCAGCCTCTTCCTGACTTGCAGCAAGCTTCTTGCAGCCAATGCTAAGACGAAGACGTCTCGTGAAGCCAGGCTGTTCTCTTCATTTCACTCTTCACTCCCCACAAGCTTAGGACCCCCTGTTCAGCTTGAACCCCGCTTGTTCGATCTTGTTCAACCCTGTTCAATCTATGCTGAGACCATCCAAATTTCAGTTCCAGGGTGAGCAGATTCGGAAGCCATCGCTTCGAATCACAGCGTTTTCAAAATGTCGACTGGCTGTTAAAGGCCTTCATGCAGGAATGTTACAGAGCAAATGCAGAGCGGCAACGGATGGAAGATGCTACGAGACGTGTTCTCAGAAAAAGTCTTTAGTTTGCCATGCTGAGATGAAGACGGTACAGTATCCATTTTCAGTTCGTCCTTCCTGGAGAAAAGTAGAGGACATCAAGCTTCCATAGTAGCAGTGTGACGGTTATAAACTCTCAGGAAGAAACCATACGAGATTTGCGTGGGCGTAAGTAAAGCCACATTCAGTCTCATTCGCGCTGACTTCGTATTCATGGACACAAACTTCAAACAAGAGTTACTTCTGAAACAGGGTATTTGCAGCTGCTCTAACGGGATACCTGAACTGCTTCCGTATGCTTCCGTCTTCATGGTTCCTGCGAGCCCTGCCCAAGTTGGGAATCCGCCGGTTCTCTGATTGACATTCAGGTGTAGGAAACTTCTTTGCTAAATTATCGGGTACGGTCCGCGTGTAACTCACGCAAAAACAGATCAAGAATTGTCGCAAGCTGCCAGGCTTCTGCATAAGGGCATGTATGATAGGCCAAGAAAAGCATTCTGAGACCCCATAAGGGAACACTCAAAGAATGCATGCTGCATGACATGCCAAAGTGATGCTTGCTTGCTTGCTTGCCTGCCTGCCTGCCTGGCTGCCTGCCTGCTTGCTTGCTTGCTTGCTTCTTTGTGTGTCTGGTAATTCACTGCATTAGTTCTGCTGACATAGACAATTCCTGATACCCTACCAGAATTCATGGCTTGATCACATTTGTGGAGAGAAAGAGAGAGAGAGAGAGAGAGAGTCTCCCTCTCATGGACCCAGCAAAGCGTTGGAAACCGATTCGAGCACAGAAAGAGGAATCGCGCACCACACGGGCGAATTCGAGCACCGGGACAACGAGACAACCCCAGGATTCGTACACTGCCGCTGGCGGATTCGCGCACTGCTCCATCGGATTCGCACTGGCACGGGAACCGATGCGCGCACCAAAAAGGAAGGGCAGATTCGCGCATCAAACGCAAAGATTCGCGCAACAAAACGGGTGCACGGCGCACCAAAACTAACGGATTCACGGCCATGCCGGCGGAGCGGACAGAATTCAGGGCATGCCGTCCGTAGAGGCACCACCCTGGAACCCTTGATAAGTTTTAGGGCTACATGAGGGTTCAAGATTGGGATTTACAGTTTTGGCACCCCCAACCCCTGAACCGGAAACACGCAATAAACTTCCTTATGCCGTGAACACTAGACTCCAAACCCTAAACCCTAAACCCCTCACCCACACCCTAAACACTCCCAAACCCTAAGCCCTAAATAAACCCAAAACCCAGAACAGCCCCCTAAACACTGCGAAGCCATAAGCTCGAAACGCAACACCCCCTAAGCCTAAACAATCCCAAACCCTAAGGCCTAAACCCCAGACACGTCCTGACCCCCGAACCCTACTGTAAACCTTAACCCCTTAAACCCTACTTGGAGGCCCATGGGACTTAGTAACCACTTATAATTGGGCTTATAATCCTACTTATAATCCTCCTTAATGGGCTTATAGGGGTTACCCCGATTATAAGTAGGCCAGGGTTATAACCCCACTTATAAGTAATTACTGAGTCCCATGGGCCTCCAAGTAGACCCAACTCCCAACTCTAAACTCCAAAACCATACCCTAAAGACTCCGAAGCCCAAAGCCTTACACCCCCACCAGCGCGAGAAACCCTAAGCCGGGCCCCCAAGCCCTAAACCCTGAACACCCACGAAAGCTACCCCCCAAATACTACCATACCGCAAGCCCTGAACCCTAGAAACGCCCTAAACCCTAACCAATCCCAAACTTAAACCCAAGCCCCAAACCTTAAACCCCAAACCTTGAACCCTAAACCTTCAACCCTAAACTCTAAACCCTAAACCCGCACTCTAGCCACTCCCAAACCCGAAGCCCTGAACCCTCAAGTCTCTGAAACCTAAAGCCTAGACCGTAAGCACTAAATCCAAATACCCCTACTGTTATTGGGCTTTGGACGTGCTTGACTTGTTGTGGCTTGGTGCGTGAATCGGAGCCTTTGGGTGCTTAAATCGGCGCCTTCTGGTGCTTGAATCAGAGCATTTCGGTGCTTGAATCAGGCTTGTGCGACGCCTGAATCGAGTGGTGCTTGAATCAGCAGTGCTTGAATCGGCAATGCTTGAATCGGTAGTGCTTGAAAAGTACTTCATGAATCGCCCTTGTTGCTTGCATCGTGGTGTTACGCCCAGCAAAGTGCCTTATCATCACAGAGGAATCCCGGAAAGCTCTCCCACTTAGACAAGCGGAGCGGCCCCACGGCATCCTGTTCTCTTAATTTTGGAAGCAGAGAATTTTGCTCAGGCCCTGCAAAAGACTTACCAAGCAAGCTCATGTCTACTCTGCAAGAATTGCTGATTGAACGGCAGCTGGGCGCACCACGTCCAAGGTGACATTTGCTTTCGGATCCTGTAGATGCACGCAGGATCATGCAGGAACCCTATCCGTGAATGATGGCTACAGGCAAGCGTCCGGCAGATGTGACGGACAAGAACGTTCCATTTTTGGGCGATCATGTCCAACCCTGTCTCTCTATGTCCAACCCCACTTCTCCCTAAAAACGACTGGCTCTGGGACAGCGCAAGCAATGCCTGCAAGGCCTGTCTCTTCTGACATGGTATTGCCAGCGTTAGCGTTAAAGATTCTGTACTAGAGAGACACCGTGTAAGAACACCAGTAAGGACACGCATCCTAAACCCTAAACCTTAAAACCTGAACTATACCCAAAATCCTACCTGCACTCTACTCAGAAACAGGAGAAGTTGTGATGGCGAAAAATGCTCACTATCCCATTGTCCTCATCAACCACGGAATCTCGATGCGAATTTGCCGTCTCGGAACGCAGCAACTTTTGAGATTCAAACCAGCCATCACAAGGACTGAACAACAACTCTAGTGGTATGAAGGTGGCTGGACGTGGCTCGAGTACGCTCTGAGCTGGCCGAACTCTAGATGAGCCTCTTTGTGTTAGGTGTTAGCTGAGACGAACCAGGGGGCTTCATAATCCGTTCATTGTGGTACAGGATAGGAGAGTGGTGGGAACAAGAACAACCATGGGTCAATGAAAGAGCTTTCTAGGCTGGCGAATACCACAACTGGCTTCTACCAGTTGAGTACTACCAGTCGAGGGAACGAATTGTGTGGGGGCTCACTCCATTCAGTAGGTTGATCTTCTGCTTCTCCATGAAAAGAGGTGATGAGTGAAGCTGGCATCAACTTGATAAGAATATCGGTTGAGCCTCGCCATCATGGAGATCCTGGGGATGTCCGCTATACTGTTGCGTGATGCTGCAAGCCTGCAATACTGCACTACCATGACTTTGGCGCTCTTTGCTTCAGCGATGCCAATCATCTACGCGGCAAGGCGTGCAGACTGATAGTCAAGGCAGCTAGGACCTATGGGTCTGCTTGTGTCAGAGACTGTTTGGCCTTCTTCAGCATGCAGACAATACGCACGGGACACATGTAGGGGTGTTTTCGATTCTGTCAATCCCACTCCATCGCCCCCCCATCCCCAGATCAAGAACACTTCCCGCTGCCACTGTTGAACAAAATGGCCTGCAGCACGTTTGCTCACAGTGGTTTTTGAAAAGCCACAACTTGCTGAGAAAGAGCAGTAGACTGAAACGAGGCAAGACGATGTCCCTAAGCGGTGAGTTCGTCCCCTGGCAGCTAAAAGAGAACCTTGCGTAGGAATCATAGGATCTTGAGCAAGGCCGCAAAGAAATTCGAGCGGATGGTCATCTTGCTTGTTACCAGCACGCTCATATCCAATGCTATATGCTTGTGCTGGCTTCGTTCCTCCGTTCCTTCCTTCCATACGTCTTTGGCCTTGTAATGCATTCTCCCGTTCATAAGGATCTGACTGATAACCCTGCAAACAAATGAATGATCGTCCGAGAGAAACTTGACAAAGTGCAAGACTACACTGAACATAAATCATGGCAGGGTTTTGAGGTAATCGGATGGGGAATTGACAGGAATCAGGGATCTTTGGAATTGTTTAGGTGTATGTTGCTGGTCCAATGGAGCTTGCAAAAAAGAATCTAAAGAAGGATTAGAAAGTGCGGTCTCGTTGACCCTTTGCGAGGTGTTTATACAGGAATACAGGTTTTTGCTATCTGTGCAAGGTTGTTATACATACATCTATATGAAAGAATTGAGAGGAAGTATGATGAATTGGGGATTCCCTTGATTTCTTAGATCTTTCTGCTTGTGTCGACACGATGTTTTACACTGTACTTTCATGAAAATTGGGGATTCGTGCTGATTGACGGTGTTTCACTAGGACATCTTGCGAGCATCTCGAGATTATATGAGCTACTGTCAAAATTCCACACCTGGCTAGTGCACATGGGCTTGGGATTGTCGTTTTTATTTGTCTCCCCTGTTGTTGTTCAGAATTTTCGCCTTTTTCAAAAGAAAGACCAGTTAACACGTCTTAAGCAGCACGGCTCACTGCATCATGGTTATCGTTTTGTTTTGTCTCCCCTATCGGCTTATAGTATTTTACGGCGTTGGCCACGAAAGTCATGTCCACCCGAGACATTATCTAATGCTTGGAAATTTTGACTGTCGCTCGTATCTCACTTGGATGCAGTCTTTACAGCATCCATGTGCATCCATACTCTGGCGAATCTCCAGACTCACTGTGGGCCCCGCAGAGCCCGTCTCTGAGAAGACGTGCTGGAGCTCGGAATACCACTCCTAGAAAAATGCACCAGCAAATGGCCAAACCTTGCCGGCAGAAAGCCGATCAGCTGGGAGCCTCCATGCTCTTTCCCTGAGGAGAGAACAGCTCGAAGGTCCTACCCCGCGGCATTGTCCAAGCATGGGAAATTCTGCAAAGAAAATGGCCCAGGTTCAATCCTTGACTGGTCAAGGAGACGTACAGCCAAGGTATCATCCAAGACCTGCGGCAAATGTTCCCGAACTCTTTCATGAGAAACTGGTCTTTTCACCAAATTGCGCAGCTGAACGTAGGGAAACCATAGCAGGCTGCGCTGCATTCAGGCCCTAGCGCAGAATCCAGGAGGCAAGCTCTACCCGTCAGTGCTGTGAAACCTTAGGCATTATTACAGTATCACCCTATGCAACTCCTTGCCAGCCTGGCACATTCTCAGATCTTATTTTGAGCAAACTATGTACGGAGTGGCTTTCAGGAGACTCCTGAACGTTGGCAGCCCCGTCAGCTTGCTTAGGGGTTTGGTATACTGCAACCAGGTTACTTCTCTCCCAACCAGTGCCCAGGCCAATTTAGCTCACTGCTGCAACCAGTGGAGCCTTCATCTCCCTAACCTTGGCCCCCCGCCTATGACTTCCCCTCTCCAAACAAAATGTGCGTACAGCAGTAATTTTTCTCTAGGGTTTTTGGTGCAGCATGCAGGAAGTGTCCAAACAGCTGAAAATGTGCCCTGTCGATGTGGTGTGTGATGGGTGGGTTGCTCTGAGTGTATGCGGAGGTCTTAGGTCTTATTTTATGGGGCTGGTACCTCCATATAGTGGTAGACGTTGTGGATCTTTCTACGGGGTTGGAAGTTGAATGCCTCCGGCCTGTAAACGTCTGGTTGGGTCACCAGGGCTCACTCCAGCCCATATGTGAGCATGGGTATGAAAATGGCAATGTATGTCCGCAGTTTCCACTTCAGACTCAGCTCCATGTTGCTCCAGAAGTGACGAAGTGTGTTGAAGTGCTTGTGTGCCCGTGGTGACCTCCTTTTACTTGGGACTTTGCGTCCTCTGCCTCCTGAAGCAGACGTAGTCCACGGAAGTGAGCGACTTGAGGAAGATGCGCTTGTCCGTTTGAAGTGCAAGGTTCTTGTGAGCTGCAAGTTCCTCAACTGCTTGCAAGGTTGCCTAGCGCCATCTGCAGTGCTCGCAATCAATGCCGTGTCATCGGTGTAAGCCAGGTTGTAGAAGTGGTGCTTCTGGCTAAAGCTCCATGTCAATGTCAGGTTTCCTCCCCCTGCAGTTTGGCGTCAAGGCCGTGCATCATAATCTGTGAACCAGCAGGGCATGGCGACAGCGGGTATCCTTGGTATACGCCAGACTTTGCCTCTCCTCTGAGGCTGCATTGCCTCCCGTACTTACACGGACATGCTGCTTGCCGCAAGTGCTGAGAATGATGTTGCGCAGCTGCTGGGGCATGCTGAACCGCTCGAGTGCTGCTGTGACGGCTTTTTCGTTGACCTCAAACGTTTGGTGTCGGTCCAGCAAGAGGACGTACAGCCATCCTGTCAGCCTTTTCAATAAGTCGGCGTACGATGTGCATGGCCTGTCAGAGCCATTGCCATGCTTCCTTCAGGATGTCATCCGGGCCTGCCGCCTGGGTCCGCGGTGATGACGTCGCGAAGGCCTATGTATGGCTCTGATGGCCCTGGTACAGTTCTCATGCAGTTCATGCCTGGGTTGCTGCATTGACTTTGATAAGACCTTGTTGATTTCCCCTCCATGGCCTGCTGCCCAGCAAGCAGCATGCACATGTACTCGCGATTATTTCGTCTGCAGAAGTGTTTGCTGGCAGCACCGGCTTAGGCCAGGTGGGCGCAAGGATGCCAAGCTCTCCAATCTGGGGCTGATGCCTGTTTCCGGCTCTCAACTGCTGCCAGTGTGCTCGAGGCACGGCGGACTGCATGTTTGGGGTCTAGGTTTGTTTTGCCCAAAAGCGCTCACCTTTTTGCTGCAGGGAGGTTCGCCAGTGCTCGGTAAACCTTTTGGCAGCTGAAGATGAACGGATCGCTGTTGAGGGCTCCGCTTTGGGATTGGGATTCGGTGATAACATCGAATTGCGAAGTACGGATCACGCACGCCAGCGGTCAGGGTGTGCTGGCATTGATTGAGTCTGGTTTTGATGTCAATAATGGCACGGATTCAGCGAATCAAGTGCTTCTGTATTGCAAGGTCTGCTGCCGAGCCACATAGCACAGCTCATAGAGAGTGCTTTTGGACCAAACTTGTGTCAGAGAAACTGTTCTTGTCTATTAGAAGGCAGAGAGTGGCTACGAAGGTCAGGCCACGTAAGCTAGGACGACCTACATGCCAACCTCCAAGTCTTCGATATCTTGGATGAAAGCGCTCAAGTCGGGCACTTGGTCATCCTTGAAAGAAGACGTGACAGCTAATACGCCAGCCATCTATTGCAAGAGAGCCGGGCTGGGACTTTGCCATCTCTGCCTTTGAAGAACTCCAGACGATCCTGCGAAGGCTGCGAACGCAAAGGCAAAGGCCATCTAAGAGACTACAAACAGAAATCCCTTCTCAGCTCTTCTCAGCCTTCTGGCTCGCCCACTTGCCCTTTCAACTCATAAGCCAAAGTGAGAGCAAGAAGGCTGCGATCCTCCCGCAGCACCAGCATACCCGATGTTGCCTGCCACACACTCGTAAAAGATATCTACTCTGAGAGAGTGGCGCAAGCTGCCTGAGAGCCCTCCCCACGGAGACTGAACCTCAAGAAAAGATTCCATGCCATGCAAACCAACATCTAGCACAGCAGTACTGGCAAGTACAATGCGTTGCACTAGCTACTAGAAATCCCTTAGAACATCTCACCTATCTCACCTTACCTGCGTCACTGCTTCAGCCTGTGAGTCTACAACATGCCCTCATAGCGTGCAGGCATCGCAGCACAAGCGCATACGAAGCGCCTTTTTTTCTAACTGACCAAAGCGTGCGGCACCGGAACGAACTGTACTAGTTCCGTCAGTGACGAGCGGAGATTGATTGTATGTAACTGCTGCGCGGAGTCTCGTGGCAACTGGAAGCAAAGTGACACATCAAGGCTTTATGAAAGGAATGGGCATGGCAATAAACTCTCCTTTGGCTGACCAGACCTGCCATTATCAAATAGACACCCAGCCCAGGGATTGAAACCACTGCAAACCCGGACAAGACTCTAGGACTCTTGGAAGTGCGATCACAGACGAAGAGCTCCTCCCAGAGTATTGAGGCTTCACACCAGGGCAAAAGCGTGTTCATGCAGGCTCCTTTGCAAGTGTCTGACGATGCCGTGCAACTGCCACAGACCTTGGTCTAACACAGCAGAAAGAATCTCTGTCTCTTCTGATGGAAGGAGGGAGCTGATCATCTATGCTGCCCAGCATCGATTTGCGCACATCTCTTGCAGCTCGAGCCCTGCTCGCGAAAACCCCACAAGAAGCCACCACATCGCTGGCACCTGAAATTGAGAAAGGCCTTCTAGCTGTTCACACATACTTGTGTTTAGTTGTGGACTTTCCCGCGTTGTCACACTGTTCTTACCGTACTTCTGACCTTTTGCTGCTTACATGCGACTTTTGCGTCGTTCCCCAGAAGGGTGGCCAAAAACAGTTGCTGACCTGTGATTGCTTTTAGGATCGAATTGAATGAGCACAGTGCCACAAAAAAGTCCCATAGTTACCCCCACCACCTTCTTCATCCTGCAGTCGAAGGAACATAGTCACGCAGGGAAATCCAAATAGAGAGGTACCTTCAAACCAAACCCGTCCTTGCCTTCCAACCAGACCAAGCAATGGAAACCCGAGTCAGGGTATGCATTAAGCTCCCCTTACTTTACCCTGTAAGCCAGGCCATGCTTTTAAGCCAGGCATGCAGGGAAACCGCTCCTCCTCCAAGGAACTCTAGTAAGTATATCTGTCAGCACCACCCTTGCCTATTATCGAAAAACACAGCATGCAGCAAAAGACAAACAGACATATACCTTTTAACCAAACCAGTCCTTTGCAATCGAACCAACCAATGGAAACTCAGGTACAGTTTCTGTGAAAAGCACCTCCCTTGTACACCTTTTCAAGCAAGCCCCCTTCTTGAAAGCAACCCGCTTCAACGAAGAAACCCTAGCCCTCGTACATACCTTGGAATCCCCACTTTCTTTTAGATAAGCAGACGGGGAGCGAAGCAAAACCTCCTGAGCTACCAGTAAGTAGATCGTTGAGAGCCTTTACGTTGCTTTTAATTTGCAATCGACGACCCGTAAGATGCAGGGAAACTCGAACAGACATGTAGCTTTCAACCACCTTGCAAGAAAACCAAACAAGGCAAAGTCAAGCATACACATGTATCTACACTGTCCTTGTTCTTCGCCTTGCAAGCCCCGCATGGCGTGCAAACAGGCCCCTTCAGGAAACGTGAATAACACAACCTTTTCTTTATCTTACGATCGAAAAAACATGATGCCGGGAAACCCAAAAAGCGTACACAACCCTTCATTGCCTTGCAATCGCAGCACCAACCGAGGAAATCCCGCATGCAGACATATGTTGGGGCCAACCCCCGTCCTCCTTTGCAATTGAACTACATGTGAAAACAAAGAGGAAACCATAAAAACCATAACCGGGACGTCAGTAAACAAGGAAACTCTAAAGACTTTCTTCTTCAAAAAAACCGTTGACTTCCTTGCAGGCGAACCAACCAATGGAAAACAAAAACGCACAGTATTATGCTTACACCAGGAACACCAGTCAAAACACCATGGCCCCCTTTTTCATCTTGCAACGGAAGGAACAAAAATGGTGCGGGGAAACTCAAATGGAAGTATACGTTGAAAGCGACCCAGTCATTGCTTCAAGTACGGGAACTCTAGTAGGGACGTCTTTTAGCACCACCCCTAAAACTAAATGGTAAAAACGTGACAACGACGATCAACAATCTTGAGAAGGATCGAACTTCTTGACTAGTTTGCAGATACTGTAAATTGCTGCATTTGCATGCTGAAAATTCGGACAGTTGGCACTCATCACAAGCTGTACATATCGGAAACTGTAACATTTGGATCTTCAAAGGCTGAAGACATTGGAAATGATATTACAAGTGTGAAGCCGTGCTTTCAGCATCTGGAGCTTTTCAGATTTCAGAAGCCCAAAAAAATGCTGCAAATCGCAGCATGTGGAACTCTTCAGAAGCTGCAGCCTGGGACCATCTATGGTGTGGAACTGCAAATACGGCAAACTACAGGAGGCTGCAGATATGCACTGCAGATTAGCGCCCTTGATAGGCGCAGATGTTGCACATCACTGCATTTTCAGCAGCTGCAGATATTGCAAGTGACAAAGTTGGATATCCTGAAAGGCTGCAAAGACTGCAACTTAACAGCATCTGAAATTGTTGCGTTAAGAACGCAAAGCCCGCAACTAGTCCGAGTTGCGAAAACTGTAAGTTACAACACGCGGATCTCTTCCATGTTGCCTCACCGAAGTTCTTGTAAGGTCGCAAAACAATGCACCGCCACTTTGAAAACCGGGATGGTCCACCCCAACTTGAGGAGATGGGGATTTCCGAGGATTTGCTTTCTAGTGGAGAATAGTGCGTGTAGCTTGACACCACAAAAGTTATCGTCAGGCAGACCTCACGTGTAAAACATGAACGAAGATGCGAACATGTCAGTTCTTGCGAAGCTTCGCAGCTGGGGTAGTTGGGGCGGGAACACGATCAAGACATGCAGCTTATTGCTAAGTCTTGATAAGTTTTGCCAATTTTGCCAGGCATTGTGTGTTTGGCGTGACAAATACCACGAAAAAGGCTGCCACCCCCATTTGAAGGCATTAGGTTTGTTGTTAGAAAAATTAGGGAAGTTGGCGGGGGGGCAGCCTCCCCATTTGCAAAGCATGGACGATGATCAATAAACATGCAGCCTTCTCCTGAGCGTCATTAGATTTGCCAGGCATTGTGGTTCTTTGTCATATATTGGGGTGGGCGCAACCCCCCAACTTGCAAGATGTCCAAGTGTGGCTTCATGCTAAGTTTCTTGATACGATTTCCTAACCACTGTGCTTGACCAAGAATAGCTGGGGTGGTTGGGGGGCACAGCCCTCCACTATTTGACAAATATCGACGAAGATTGCAAACTGTAGCCTTCATGTGCCTTGATTCTCGGCATCTCCAGGATCAGCCCTTTGTTGCTGGATTTGCTAGGTCTTGGATACAATTTGCCAGTCGTGTTGCTGCTGAGGCAAAATGGCAGGGAGCTTGTTGGGACCTGCTTGCAAACCATGGATGAAAATCAGAACATGTAGCTTCTTGAGCCCACGCCGGTGACTCCAAGTTGATCAAAGTTGTGCACCTGCTGACTCTATCTTACTCTGTTTTCGAAGCGAATTGCAATCCCAAGCCTTGACAGAGACGGGCGCAACCGAGCAACGCAACCAGAAGTTTGCACAGTCAAGACGACCTGCTTGGGCCTTTGCAAGCGTATCCTGCTTTTAGAAGCCCCAAAAATTCCGAAGGAAGTCTAGAGTTTTAGGGGCTGATGCCATGTGATGAATTCGACTGTCCACTCAGACGGAAACTTGACGTTGGTCCGTATTGTTCTTTGAAGGTTCCTGGGCTTACCGAGGGCCTTCGCACGAGTATCTGGTTCGGTTTAGAATTTCAAACTTATTCCTTTCAATCGGAGCGAAGTTGTAGGGTTTTATGGGAAGTACACAGGGAGGCGGTTTGCTAATTGGTTGCTGCCAAGTGCAAGCCTCAGGAGATGCTGCCGAGAATCGTGCATGGTTAAAAGAAGCAGTGGGCTTTAAGAACACGATTTTCAAAGCCTTTGGAATCTCCTGGGCTTGATTCCATTCACGGAAGAGAAACTCCTGGATGTGACTGGATGCGTGCTGAAAGTGCCTAACCTATGCAAAGTGAGCAATCAATGGATTTTGGCTGAAGTACAGCGTATGTGTTCTTGGGAAGGAATTGCCTTACTCATGAAGCCCCGCCACATGGAGGTCGTGAACTGGAGCATCCACATGTTGATTAAAGCCGGCAATGTGAACCTCTCCAAAGAAGTGTGCGCATCCTGCGCAGGCTTGGAGGGTTGGAGCGGAAACATGACCGGCCCAGGAACCTACGTGCCATGGTCATGACTAACAGATCAAAGAAGCAACAACTCGCAGCTTGAGCGCACGTTTCGCGTATCAAAATTGCCTTCACACCTGCGTCTTACATTTTTTGGCATTTTGAGGCCTGCCATTGGACACCACGCCTTGCTCTTTATGCAAAGACTGCCTTCAAGCTGTCCCTAAGCGTTGCCCGGATCCAAGCGACCGCCAGGCGCATAAATTTTCATTCAGGCGGTTGGCTCTTTGCTGATTCGGCTGTGCAGAACGAGAGCGCCATTGCTAGCCGAATTATTGAAATACTCCATGCGAGAGCACAATGCCGAGCTGAGCCAGGCGCACGCTCCATAATCCTGGAGCGTCGAGCCCTGCTGCCTCAAGGGACACTCTACATGAGAGCGCGACTTGGAGCCGAATTGCAAGGACGCCCCATGCGGAAGACGTGGGAGACAGCGGTCTCCACAAGGCGTTCCACGAAAGAGCGCGATTCCCAGCAAAGGCGAGTACAAAGGCGAGCACACTCCACGCCAGATCACGATCTTTAGCTTAGTTGTGAGGATGCTCCAAAATGCTCCAAGCGTATGGACCAACAACAAATTAGAGGTCATCAGAAAAGCCACAAAACATGG